CCATGCTTTGTTTTAAAGATGTAGACAGTTGTTCAATTTCTGTTCTCATAGTATGTCCAATATTATTCACAGTCTCTTCAATACTCCTGATATTTTTATCCATATTTGCTTGCTGATCAGCCATTTCTACAATGCGCCTCTCCATTAGAGTCACCTTTCGTTCTGCCTCGCATATTCTTTTCTCTAGTAGGCTGTCATAAGCTGCATCAATAAGTGAATAGTCACTGTCTTCTATATGAGTGTCCACTAGCAATGTATCCATAACTGCAGTCTGCAACGCTAGATTTGTAATATCACTGTTCGCTATATTTTTGATGTTTTTAATCCTTGTCGCCAAATGTTGTGATTCAATTTAAAATAAAATCAACAGAAACATATGGAAATCTTATGGAGGAAAACGTTGCAATGTGTCATCTGACATGGCGCATCCCAGATTACTATTTCCGCTATATCAGGTCACGTGATCAAGATGTGCCACATCAGTGCACATATTACAACAAGTGACCCCCATGACCATATGTAAAAAAAATTAAATTTCAGTCCCAACGAAAATCGATAATCTTGGTGAATGGGGATTAAACGATATGCATTTTTTATATCTGTTTTTGCCATGAACGCATACATGTATGTCCCTACATCGCGTACAATTTTAATCCATCTTAAACCATAGCATATTGTATAGTTAATTATTCCTTGGCAATGCCATCATTAACCTAGTGTCCTTCTGGATGAGACAGATGGTGAATAAACCCATGGTGGACTTGGGCACAACTCTAATGGAAGATAATTTGAGGTATTTGGCAGGTGTTTCATGTAGGTGTGACATTCTTCTGGTGCTTATTGTACCACCAGCGTTAGCGCTGGCGGTACACATGGTTTCGGTCTCGTCCGGATCGTTCCGCCGGCTCCGCCGGCTCCGCCGGACGGCTACCGTTACCGCTTCTCCTCCTAGACGGTAAGGCCCCCCATACCCATCTCATGGATTTAGGTCACCTATAATCTCAACTCGTTCCACGTAAAATTTGGGCTTTGTCGGTATTGGGGTCTGGGTGTGGCACTCATTGCAATGCACCCTTGTCTAAAAATGGCAAAATTAAATGCTAATTATCTACCCTACGGAAGGAGTTA